CTTTCCCAGCCCTGTGGAAGGGGCCAGAAGGAATGGTTTAGCCATTACCAGCAGGACTGGCTGGACAGAGACCAGTCAGAGGGTCTCAGGATTCAGTCGTAGAAAGACAATCAGTCGGTGGTGCATTTGGGGGATGGAAGAAATGTGCAGTCAGGGCTGGTGCCATGACAACTGCATAGTCTGTGTAAGTCAAGGTTTTGGGGAGCAAAAGCTTGAGTGTGCAGAGGGGGCAGATGCATAGAAAGGACCCAGAGACCAAGTGCCCCATGGGGTGCAGGGACAGCTGCAACCTGGGTGTCTGCTGTCAGCTAATGGGTGGCGGGGGTGCACCCGGGGTTCCTGGGCCTGTGGGTGCTGCCCCAGAAAGACCCTTCCAAACCTGCCGAAGGAGATGGCTTAGCCATCGCCACGTGTGCTAGACCAGGGGGTCTGCATCTCTTTCGAAGCAGCATGGGAGTTGGTAAGACCCCCTTTCCCTGAGTCAGTCAATGTCTTATAACCAAACAAACCTGTCATGGGCAGATGGGGAGAGATGGGGAAAAATGGGGTCTGAGACATACAGAGTGGAGCTGGGCAACGTGGTGGGCTGAGGGGCCCTGGTACCCCCTAGACTTCAGGCTGTATCCTCAAGCTCTGGAGCTGATTCAGGCGGGTGTCCAGGACCATGATGCCACTGGGCGGTGTGGGCAGAACTACCGGCTGGTAGAGCAGAGATGGATGGAGGAGGTGAAGTCGCTGGACAGGCCATCCGTTTTCGCTTTGCTAACGGGCACAGGGAGAGCACGGGAGGGGACTGTGCCATCTTCCCTTGTCTCTCCTGGAGCTGCCCACCCCTGCCCCTTCACTAAGACAGGATGCACCTGCATCACATCCAAGCCGGGAGAAAGGGCAGTGCTGGACAGGACTCCCCGGGACCGTGCTCAGATCTGCCATGCGCGTCCCGTTCCTCCTTGGCCTGGGCATGCGAGGAGACTTTTCATGGCAAGCCCACAAGCCCCGGAACGCCTGGATCCACTTCCCTCCCAACTGTTATTTAAGCGAGAGGACACAGAGGCCCAGGCCGGCCATGGGCAGTTACTGGCACAGCCTGGACCAGAGCAGAGGCCTCCTGAGTCAGGACAGCCTGTGAGGCCAGGAGCGGGAAGCGGGGAGTTGCCAGAGCTTCTGGAGAACCAGCGAAAACTGGGGCGTGCTGCTATCTAAATCACCAGGGAAAGACATTAGAGAGACTAGGAGCTGGCCCAGTTGATAACTGGAGGGACTAAAAGCCAGTGGGATTTGGCTGGCATAGGTGGGGCACTGGGCTTGGAGGCTGTTCATGGAGCGGATGGCCAGGAAGGACCCAGTGCCTCCTGCTGCCCGTTTTCTGCCATTGTGGTACCATTCAGGCCTTGAAACGTCCCACCTGACACGGGTGATGTGTTGAAGCTGCATGCGTGAGCCATGTCCGGGGAGGAGGAGGGATGTTCTCGGGTCTGCATCATGCAGTCCGAGGAACCAGACAGGTGAGCAGGCCTGGCCTCGGTGGGAGACAGGATGATGGAAGCCACCCCAAGTCAGACTCTCTCCAGCTTCTAGAATCAGTGGTCCCCAGGGAGAGTCTGACCATAGCCACCTGTGTCCTCTGGGTGGCCACCTGCATCTGTCTGTCACCACGCGCCCAGGCAATGCTGTGCTGCTCCCAGGCTGCCTCTCAGCCCTCGACGGAAGAGCAGAAGATAAACCCCCAATTGACATACCCCAAGTCTCAGTGCCTCCATCACAGCCTCGGCGACATAGGTTTCCCTGGATTCATGTGGGTATTTCTAGAATATACATTGTTTTCTTCTTCTACAGTTCCTCTGTGGTCCTACAAGTATAGAGAAGATGAACTAAAGTCAGAACTAAGTGGCCATTGTGGCTGGGTCTGCCAGCTGCCTTGCAGGCAAGGAGTTTGACATATTCGGGAGGGTTCTGAGGGGTGTCATGGAGCCAACATGCAGTGGGCGCTAGCTGCCATGTTCCCTTCTTAGGGTATCAGCATCCCAGGCCTCTGGGAAAAAGCGGCCCCCTGCTCTTTGTAGTCCTGAGACTTAGGCCACACTGCCAGACCCAGTCTGGCTTGGAAAAGCTGGAGAGACGTCACAGGCTCAGGCCCTGTTCCCCATCATTGCCTCTGACAGGGGCCAGAGATGACGAGAGACCGGATCTGGCCCAGCTCAGAGGACCTGTCAGCAGTGACGTAGCCCCATGGACCCAGGCCCCTTCCTTCCGGGCCCTGAGGGGCAGGCAGGCCTTGCGAGGCCCTTTCTGGGCTCCCTGGGCCTGAGGTTTGCTCTATGAGGCCCCAATTGTTGGTCTCCTCACCGTCATGTCCTGCTCCATCCAGGACAAACAAGTCAGGAGGGAACCGGAACATGGCGGCCCTGTCTGCTGTTCAGGCCCCTCAGAGCACCACCCTCCTGCCAGGTCCCCAGGACCCCTCAGAGGCACGGGAGGGGCAGGGTGCTGCCGGCGAGGGCCTGGAAGGCTGAAGCAGCATGCCTGCCTCATTTACCCCCATGCCAAGCGACGGCCACAAAGTTATTTATTCTTCTCTACAGGCTTTTAATTGTGTCTAATCTAATTACCACTCAACCTGCTCCCCCAGTGACGCTGTTAATTAAGGCAGGGCGTCTGCGTCTGCTATGGCTGAGCGGCTTCTTGCATTTCTTTGCTTCCTTCCCAATTTGTGCATCCAGGCAAGAGCATCGGGGACAGCCAGTCTCTCCCTCTGATTTTTTCTCTTTCCTGTTCTTACTCTGGTTCTTTCCCCTCCACCCCCTGGAGCAAAGGGATCATCTGACTTCCACCCTGCCGCTGCTGGTGTCCTCTGTGCGGCCTCTGCTAAACTGGCCAGAGACATACCCCGGTGGGTGGGGGAGCCCGGTGGGCCCAGAGTAACAGGCCTGGTTGCTGTGGGAGTTCCAAGAGGAAGTCGGTGGGGCCATTGACCTGTGGGTGGGGCGGATCCTACCAGAAGAGACAGGCTGGCCATGTTTACCTGTAGGCAGCACACAGCCCACAGCAGGCCAGCTTTTGCCCGAGTGGACCTCACCTCAAAGCTGCAGGCGGGCAGCAGGAGGTGCAAGCAAGGTGGTGACCTGGTCAGGCGTGGGGTCCAGCCCTGTGTTGAGAAGGAGTTGTGAGTGGGGCGGGGAGCAGGGCGCCCCACCTGGAAGGCACTTATCCAGGACCATGGTCTTCACATCAGCCCTGGAGGCAGAGGAAGTCTAAGGAATGAGCCATGTGGCATTTCTTGCCCAGGAAGAACATGACCTCTCTCCCCCCACTGCCTCATGGACTTACCTAAGGCAGGGCGCAGGGGGAGGGGTGTATGACATCTGAGGGAAGACCCCCCAAGTCGCCTCGCCACAAATGAACTATTGACGTTTCATGGTCCTCGTTCTTACTGTCATCGAAGTGACAGCTTCCCACAGGGCAACAAGAAAGTCCACCTCCTGGAGAAAGCAGGGGAGAGTCAGACACCAACTCGTGATTCCGCTTCCTTGTAGGGAATGAGCCTGGCCTAGATGTCCTGACTCTCAACGATTTCCCTCTTCTCTTCCCCTGGCATCCTGAGACCATGTGCCCAGTGCCCGAGAACAGATGGCCTTGGCAGGGTTCAGCTCTGCCTGGCACAGCAGACCCAGGGGCAAGGCTGGGCCCATGGAGTTCCTGAGCACAGGTGGTGGGAGGGGCTTCCCCAGGTGCGAGATGGTCGGCGCTCTTGCCCGTGGCCCTGGCACATGGCATGGACAGGCACTCTGCTGGGAGGAGGGGGGAGAGAGCCCCAGGGCTGGGAGGGTGCCCAGGAAGCAGGTGGCACACTTGGCGATTTGTCCAGGCAATCTGGGCAGAGTCATCCTTTTTCCAGACCCTTATTCGCTCCATTTATTCCCTGTAAGAAATGCCACCAGGACCGTTCCACTGTTCATCACTGCGCCTGCCCTCGCCCCACCTCCCCCGCTTCTGCATTTTCTTGGTGACAGATTGCCACCAGCACTTTTCTCCAAACTCATTGCCCCCCTGCCCTGTAATTGGTCCTCCCCCTACTTGCTCTTCCGGCCTTGCCTGGTCACCAGCACCATGCAGCCTCCCCCTCCCTGGCTTCACCCACACTGGCCTCTGACCACCATCCCACACCTTCCAGTGCCCACTCTTGCTGCCATCAGCAGCTCGCCCACGGGCTTGAATATCAGGGGGCCGTAGGGAGCATCCGCCTGGCCTTGGGGATGGTGCCAACCATCAAGTTACTGTTCCTGGCATCTCAGCCCCCACAGAGCCTAAAAGGGGGGCCGGAAGTTTGTGGAGTCCTTCGAATCCTACTCATTAGGAGAAGCACAGGGCATGCTGATGGATCCGAGGTGGCAGGCGTGGGGGCTGCAGGGTGGCCAGCTGACCCTTCCAGTGGCAGGAAGCCAGGTGGAGGAGGAGAATTCCAGAACTCCCTGCTGTCTGGACAGCGGGGGAAGATTCTCTGTGGGGCAGGATTCTCTGTAGCCACATCACCAAAACATACCCACCCTCCTCTTCAGACACAGCAACACCCCACAGGGTACTCCAGACTCCGGGCCCCCCGACCTTTTTTGCTTTCTGGAAAGGGGGTCTCCCCCAAGATAAGGCCTCACCCTCCAGGCTCCTTCTTCCCCTGCATGTCTGCAGCCTGTCTGCAGCTCTCCAGGGGCAGGTGTGCTGCTGTTTCCTGTCTGGGCATCTGGCTCCCTGTGAGTATCCCGGAGACCTGTGCTCCAAAGAACCCAGGCTTTGGGTATCAGCGTCAGGTTTCTGGCCTGACTTTGGGAATAGCTTTTCATGAGGGCTGTGAGTTTTGGGGAAAAGTGGTAAAGGTTTTGGAATCATGTTCTTAGAATTTCTTAAACGGGACCCCTCCACCATCTCAGAGCAAGCGAAAGGGGACTGGCAGCTTGACTTAAGGCATTACGGTCTGCCTGTTCACACCGCCAAGTTCAAACAGCTCTTTTAGTACTTTATTTCCTCTGCTGCGAAGCATGTTGGAATGTGAGAGCTTTTCACAGAGTAACGTGGTCTTGAGGAAAGAATGGCTATAAGTCAGGGAACACGTACACACCTACTTATGCACCTGTGTGTAGGCGCCCAGAGCCCCGAGAGAGTAAACTTGACCCCACTGGGCAGGGGGTGCTGTAAATCCCCTCTGGCTCCCAGCTGCAGAGGGCCTTGGAGGAGATAGGAGGCAGCAATGGGGGTGATGGTGACCGTCACCACTGCATGGACAGTTCAGGTTTTGGGGGCAGGGGGCGGCCCCTCCCATCTGGGGAGCCACAGGGCCAGGCTCCCCCGAGGGCCTCATCAGAGAGGCTGAGGGTGGGAGGAATGAGGAAGGCACAGAAACGGCGCTCACCCAGGCCCTAGCACCAGGTCACTCCCAGCCACAGCAATATACGGACTTCAAGCAGGAGCCCTGGAGAAACCAGCAGCAGCTCGGAAAATTGAGGCAGTTGTATGGGGACCGGAAGGAGCCGTGCTGAAACATTTCTGTTCATCAGCACGAGAGAAAGTTGAGAAAGTATAATGGGAGTTTCCTGAAGTGAGGGACCTAGCTTAACCTAACTTTCCAACACCCCACCCCCCGCCCTTGAACGTTTCTCACTCTGGCTTGAAGATGAGCGTTTGTCTCACTCACTCTAGAACATTCCGGAGAGTAGAGGCTGTGGACCCGGCTCTACTAGGTGGCCTGCCATGCCATTCCCTGGCCAGTGGGGAGGGGGGGTCTTTGAGGGAGGGAATAAATTACTGCAAGGGAAGGAGATACTGTGTGGGACTGGTCTGGTCGAAGGGAGAAGCCACAGACGGGAACATGAGCATGGTGGGGTCCTGGGAGCAGCATCCTATGCCCCCCTTCTTTTACAGATATGGGAGTTGGGAGCTGCTGAGAGGGACCTGCAAGCTTACACAGCAAACTGCATCCTCCTCACCTGGGGTCCCCGGAACCCTCTTTTGTTCCTCATGATGGTGATCAGCCCGGTCTCAGGCCTCTGTACCTTGGTGCCCTTTATGCCCCAGAGGAGACAGAGACCATGAGCATCACCATGGTTTTTAAGCTGGAACCTGAGACCAGCACTGTGACCTTGGAAAACCACCCCAGAGCCGGCAGGAGTCTGCCGTGACCTGTACCAGCCACCAGGTGTCACTGATGTGTCTGTCTTCTAGGGGGAGCCCAGTGCACAAGCGGGAGAGGCTTCTGGGAGATTTCCAGATGCGCCTCCCCTTCTTGTGTCATTCCCAGGGTCTGCTCTGGGGACGGAAAGGGTGGGCCCAGCCACACTGAGAGAGCAGATGGGGTGGCTGGCGCTGTGTACCCTACGTCTAGTACACTGGTTCCTCAGGGTCTTAGGCCGCTTGCCCAGAGTGCCCTGGGAGTGGCAGGACCCCCACGCCCACATGGGCTGTCTCCTGAGGCTCTGTGTCCCACTTGTCCCCTCTGGCTGACTCCCAGGTCCTTAAACCAGTTCTTGGTTGTCCCTCCCTGCTCCATCTCTTGGAACAGAGAGGCCCAGCCAGAGTGCATTTGCTGTGTTCCCTGGAGAAGGAGGGAGAGGGGGGGTTCCAGCTCATGCCTGTGAAGACAGATGCAGGCCCTGTGGGCATCCCAACCCTCTTCCCAGCCCTCTCCCTAGGCACTTCCTTTCTGGAGAACACAGAACAGCAGAGAGTCTGGTGACTGATGTCTGGTGCCAGGAAACAGGGTGGTGGGGGGCAGTTTTGGAAGACAGGATCCTTGGTGGAGGGGGCCTGGGCTTCTTAGTCTCTTAGGCCTGAGCTACCCACAGTGGAGTCTCCAGCAGGTCTTTCCAGCCCTCACCTCTGGGTGGCGCTGCTGGCTGTGGCTAGGACCAATCCAGATGTCACTTGGGGACCTGGAGTGATGTGGGAGGACAGAGTAGGGGACATGATGTCTTGAGACACACATCTGTGCTGGGGGTGGGGGGGGCAGGTAGAAGTCTGGGTGCACAGTGGTGTCTTTGAGCTGGATGGCGCCAAGGCAGGCCTCGGATGTCTTGTTGCAGCGGCTGCAGGCGCGGAGGCTGGGGCTTGTCGCGCCTCAGGAAGCGGGGATGGGAGGAAAGGAAAGAAAGGGAGACAGAGGCAACAGTCGGTGGGCGCAGACGCCTGGGCCCTCGGCATTCAAGGGCAGCCAGAGAAAGCCCAGGGGCACGGGAGGCCTAGATGACCACGGACTGCAGCAGGCGGAAACACATCATGAGGTCCAGCGGGATGGGCGGCTTCAGGTAGTTCCCGTCCAGCCGCAGGTAGCGGAGGTGGGGCACGTTGTCCAGATCGGAGGAGAAGTCGTGGAAGGCGAGTAAGTCGTTGGGGCAAATCTGGGTCCCGTTGATTTCTATGGAAAGAGAAGGGGAGAGTCAGCGGGAGACGTGGGGTGACGGGCTCAGCATAGAACAGGGCTGGAGGCCAGATGAGGCGGGAAGGGGTGGGCCTCAGAGCAAGACCCTGGAGCTCCTGCTGCAAGCCGCTGACTCTGGGGACACAGAGGCCGTAGCCTGCAGGCTTGGTTTACTCGTTTGTAAACACAACAACAAAATGTTGGAATTGATCAACAGCTGTTACTAGAAATTCACTCTGGAGAATCACCGGGGAAGGAAGCTTTGAGCCGAGCTTTCCAGGCCACGACTGGGGAGTGTGGCATCATGTAGAAGGGCCTGTTTGACGACATCATGGAGGCCAAAAGCTGCCAGCAGTCTGAGAGTCGCAAATAGAATCATCTCCGATGCTCCACTGAGGGTGGGGCCTGGACCTGTGACCTGAGGAGCATGCTGAGTGGGGCATCACCAGGACCTGGGCATCACCAGGACCCTGGCATCACCAGGAGCCAGGCATCACCAGGACCCTGGCATCATCAGGACCTGGGCATCACCAGGAGCCGGGCATCACCAGGGGCTGGGCATCACCAGGACCCGGGCCTCACCAGGAGCGGGCCTCACCAGGACCTGGGCCTCACCAGGACCCGGGCATCATCGGGACCCGGGCATCACCAGGAGCCAGGTATCAGGGCGGATTAACCGAGCGCCAGGTGTGAAACCCACAGGCATCCTAACATCAGGTCTGTGTGTAAAAAGATCAATCTAACAGCAGCGTGAAGAACTGTGGGGACAGGGGAGACGCGGCCAGCGGGTGGGTCCGTGCCCACAGCGGAGGTCCCCTGTGACCTGTGTGAGGCCGGCGGAGGGACCGAAGATGGTCTCATTGGCCGGCATGGGGTGACAGGAGGAGGGACCCTGGGGGCCTGACAAGCATTTATTCAGATGTGATTGTTGGTTCTACGCAGAGCAGCCTGAACAGGTAAGTTGTGGCCAAATGGCCAGAGGTTTTCAGCGGGAAAGTGAGATTGTGTGTTCTCCGTTGCTCTTGTCAGTAAACATCAGATACATCATCTTCTGGTGAATGTTTTATTCTCCCACCGGCTGTGGGTCATCACCATTCTCCTCTGTCTCTTTCCTCCTCCTCCTCTTCTGCCTTTTTTTCCTTCTCTCCCTCCCTCTCATGCATGAAGTCACAGAGCCTTAATATAGGTGGATTTTCCTCCTGAGACCTTTGTGCCGTTGGGCTGACACCTGTCCAGCCGAGATTCAGCTGCCCACTGCTGAACAGATAAGCGAGGTACTGGCCCTTCCTACCAGCGAGGCACACCGGAAGGGACCCTGCAGATGGCCGCCTCCTGACGTTGCTAAGAAAATAATCATGGTACTGGCCCCGGCCCGCCCAGCCATTCATTCTGTTGGCGACACGGGAGACAGGCTGGTTGGGGGTGGACATGTGTGCACCGGGTGTGACTGGGGCCTCAGAAGCCTGAGCACCTCCCCCGGCCTGGTCATCCTCAGTGCCATAGAGATCAGTTTTTATGAATCAAAGTCTCTTTTCGGTCCGTATTTTTCAGCTGGCCCAGCTGCAGGGGCTCTGTTCACCTGTTTACTACCCATAAGGTATCATTAGAGTTTTCCCTTTTCCTGAATTTGCTTCTTACAGCATTTTAAAAAAGAAAACCCCTCCCTGCCCCTCGGTGAGTGCCCAGGCCGGTCTTCCCAGCTCACTGGTTTCCAGATGGAGGGAATTCAACCGTCTCCTTCTCACTCTGACTTGGAAATGAAAGGGTCTTAATGTTTTGTGAAGGGGCCTTCTCCTCCCCCCTCCCCCGGCGCCCCTTTCTCCTGTCAGCTCTGCTGCACCCTTGTGTGGGTGCAGCCTGCTTTTGTCCAAGGGCCATCGCCGCTGGATGTTCTGCTCTGAGGTGACACTTCTGACCGGAGCAAAACTGTTCCCATCAGCCCCTTCTCTGGCGTGCACTTGATACTCTACACCCACAACCTTCTAAACGTGGGTTAAGCAAATTCGGCCACAACTGTACTGTCTTATGGGACTAAATAGCCCAGCCATCCAGGGAGACGCAGAAAGCACCATGTGCAGCTTACCCAGCCACAACATCCTTTTCTGGTTGCTGCATTTTGGCCAGTTGCAAAGTCTGGCTGATGAGCAGTCTGGCTCATCAGCAAAGTCAAAACCTGAGCTCAGACTTGGGAACAAGCTTCCTGTCACAGCACCAGCTTCTGCAGCCGACATGGCCAGGACATTTTGGAATGGCCATCAACAGGTCATGTTAAGCTTCCCAGAGAATGTATTCTGAGGCCAGCCTGCCTGTAGATCTGGAAAGCGGAGATGCTGGGGCTGATGAGAAGCGTTAGAGGAAGAAAACCCAGCCTCTTTCAAGCATGAGGTTCTGGGTGCTTTGCCCCAGGAAACTATTAACCCCCCACCTCAGCTTTGTGACAGTGGGTACTATTAGCATTCTCACCTTACAGAGGAGGAAACCTTCCAGATCTTTTTCAGAGCACACAGATGGAAGAGTAGCAAGAGTAGTAAGGCTAGTATTCGTAGCCCAGTGCCAAATGGGGTGCTTTCGGGACCACCTGCCCCAGGTACCCCCCCCCGGCCCTACTTACTCTCAATACTGTTGTTGTTGAGGTACAGGTGCTCCAGCCGGTTGTTTATGGCGGGCACGCTGCTGATCTTGTTGTGGGCCAAGTGGAGCACGAGCAGGTTGGAGAGGTTGAAGGAATTCTTGGGGAGCCCCCTGTCCGACAACTTGTTGTAGTTAAGCCGAATGAAGGCGAGGTTGGGGAAGCCCTTGAAGTAGCCGTTCGGGATGGTCTCGATCTTGTTGCTGTCCAGGTAGAGCTGGTGGATGGCTGTGGGGACCTTGGGGGGCATTTTCCTCAGGATGTTGTGGGCCAGGTTGAGCTGCATGAGGTTTTTGAGGCCCCGGAAGGTGTCGGGCTTGAAGACGCCGTCACTCAGCTTGTTATTGTGGAGGTCCAGGAGTAGCAGCTTCTCCAGCTGGCTGAAGACGCCGGGCGGGATCCGGGAGATCTGGTTCTGGCTCAGCCGCAGCTGCTCCAGGTTCCGGGGCAGGGCCGAGGGCACCTCTTCCAGCTGGTTCTTGTCCATGTAGAGGAACACCAGGCTGGGGAGCTTCTCCAGCACCCTCTGGTCTATCTTGCGGATTCGGTTGTTGTCCAGGTTGATCCACCTTAGGCCCGAGGCGTTCTTGAAGGACTCCACCGGGAGCTCGGAGATGAAGTTGTTCTGGAGATAGAGGTAATGGATGCGAGACGGGATGACGGGCACCTTTCGGAGGTTGCGGCTGTCACAGTAGAGGGCAGACGGGAAGTCGTAGGGGCAGTAGCATTCCCGGGGGCAGTCAGGGAAGATAGAGGGCGGGCCCGGGGGCAGGGGAGGGGGCAGGTCTGTGGGCTCTGATGGTTCCTGGGTCTGAAGAAGGCTGGGCGTGGGCCTGGGTTTGGGTTTCGGCCTGGTCCTGGGTCTCGGTGGTCGTCTCGTTGACTGGCCTTGGGCCCCTGAGGCCAGGATGAGGAGGAGTGGGAGGAGCCAGCAGAGGAATGACCTCATGATCCAGGTAGCACACCTGCAGGGAGGAAACACAGGAGCTCATTAGCCTGCTGGGGGCCTCAGACATCACATGGCGGGTCTTAGTCGCCAGAGGTGGCCAAGGCGGCTCCGGCTACTGGATTGCGGAAAAGTCTCCTAGTTTGCTTCTATCCAGCAGGCGAGAAAGTCACAAGGGCTTGAGAGTCTGGATCCCGGGCCAGAGGCCTGCTCTGGAGAGGGAGAGCCATCTGGAAGGAAGAATGCCGGGGAGCAATTAGGAGTCGAGGAAGACCCCTAACTTCACTGCCCCCGTCTCCCATTCTGCCACATGAGAACATCAGCCCTGTCCTCATAGGAGGGGTGCTGAGGTACATGAGCTGTAGAGTTGTGGGGTTATGCCCTTAAAGATCCCATAACCTGGCAGCTTTCAAACTGAGCTCTCATTTCTATGGTGCCCCAGTGAGGGAAGTTGAGGGAAGAGATGGGGAACCCCCAACTCACGCCTGTGCCAAACTGAGCAACTATGTTTCTTAAAATCTGTTATCTATATACTGAGGTTTAGTTGAAGTGTAGGAGGAGCTCCATGGCTCCTGGTTTGGGGGTGCAGTGAGTGAGCCGGCTCTACTGCACATCATGGCCGCCTCTCCACAGCTTGGATTTCACATGTTGGAGGTGGGGGTGGGTTTTTGAAATTCACATCAGTTTTGAAAATGTGCCAGTCAGGTTCGAAACCCATGGGCCCCGAAAGCCAGAAAATGCTGGGGCAGCAGACAGACGCAGAACTCTGAGGTTCACTGGACTCTCACCTGGGAGGAACTTCATCTCAGATGTGCCAGCACTACCTCCTGACTGGTACCATTGATCTGTGCTGGGCACCTCTAAAGAGCTGGGCCCCAACATCACCTGCTTACTGGCACCGTTGGCCTGTGCCTGGCATCTCTAAGAGCTGTCCGCTGCTGCCTGATTCTCAACACTGCCTACTGAACAATGCCACTGGCCGGTGCCTGTACCACCTCTACAGCTGTCTCCTGTTGCCTCTGGCCCTGCCAGCCTGGCATTGGGACTGCTGCTCCTGGCTGCTGCCTCAGCAGCACCACCTGGGATCACCTCCAACTGCCACCTTGAGTTAGGGTGGCACTACTTATTGGCGTACCACCGACTCAAGGCTCTTTACAAGGTGCTTTTGGTTTGGACTGTTGAACACGCTGGGATAGGACAGATGTCATGTGTGACCTTAGAAACTCCTTGCTTTTCCCTAATATCCCACTTGTCAATAAACCCTGTTGTTTTGTCATTCTGTGTTGGTGTCAGATAGTTGTGAGGTGCACGGGCAAAGGACCCATGAACTGTGACACCCCCTAAGTTTACATGACTTCAAAAGCATTAAAAAAAAAAAAAGCGATATTACTAAAAATGGTTTGGAATCTGCAAGTCAAGCCCAGACGCCACAGTTTATAAAGATGGAGTTCTAGAAGGCACAAAGGGCTTGCCAAAGCCAGGAAGCAATTTACTAGCTGACCCAGGACAAACAGGGCTGTGCTGAACCTCAGGCCTTCCCTTTCCTGGCCCCTGTGCTCAGCTCAGAGAGCACTGGTCTTTGCCAGAAGGAAACAAACCAAGAATTTCTCCCCAGATAGGGAGGCTCTTGGGAAAATAAACTGGGAAGGGACAGAGAGCAGTGGGGAAAACACTTTCATTTCTTTTGACCTGCTTGTGTCCACTGGCGTAGATGGCTCGAGGTGGGGCACCAAGAACTCCTGCTGGCCCGGTGACATGGTGCAATAGCTGACCCCTCGGATGGGACTGTGGGTTGGGTTGAATTCAGCGGTGGGAAGAGCAATAGTCCCAGGGCTTCAACAGAAAGAAGCAGCTGCACAGAGCTCCCCTCCCCGGCCTGCTGGGGAAGGTCAGGGAGGGGGTTTCTGGTACCTGCTTCTCTCCACGACCATCACTGTCCTGTGAAACCCCCTCAAATGTCCCGTTAGGACCCCTGTTCCCTTTGCTTCTGCCGGCCCTCCTTGCTGGGATCTGGGACACACTGGGGATGCAACTTGGGGTTCTCTAAGATGGAGTCTGCGAGAGTGGGTTGGGCCCTGACACCCTACTTCCCGCTGGCCTTCCTCCTTGCTTGACCCAGGCCTGGCTCCAGGCTGGCTTTGCTCAAAGAACACAATAAAAGCCCCTCCCCAGCATGAATGTGACACAAAATAGGAGTAAGCTCGAGCCCCCAGGGGTGAAGGGCGTCTCCCATACCTTTCTCTCTCTCTCTCTCACACACACACACCACCTTTGACACTAGCCTATACCTCTCATACCCCACACCAAACACGTGCTAACTCACGCTCACATGTCTGCCCTTCATGCTCACATGTGAGCTGTGGGGAAGAAGGGTGGGGGGAAGAGGGTAGACGCAGGAGTGGACCAGCTAGTCCTGTCCTCTCTGGCTGCTCCCCTCCTCTGAGGTATCTGGAGACAGGCCTCTCCCTGGGGTCCAGCAGGGTCTCCGAGCACAAAGGTCTTGGCTTTACCTCCTGTTGAGGGTACACAGAAAGAACTGGAAAGAGAAAGCATTTGTTGTTAGACTAAACATGGGCCCTTCTCACACTGCTCGTGATTTGTGATTATGAATTAATGTTGTATGAGCCCCATGATCTAGAAAACAGCATAATCACGTTGCATATAGATTAGGGGAGGGGGTGTTTAAATCATTACCAGAATACCAACAACTATATTGAGAAGGTCCCATTTTTATGATCTTGAAATTTTTAATTGTTGTTCCTTTTGTTATTTATATTTTTCCTGATCAGAAACTGGAAGATAAGCAAGAAATCTCCTGTCCTGAGAAGTCCTGCCCAGGGACTTGTTTTCCTTTCATTGCTTTTGTGGACAGAAGCATCTACCAGGTCCTGCCCACCCCGTTAAGTAAGTGAAATTAGCCTGGGGTTTCCACAGGGCATGGGGCCTTGGACAGGACTGAGGGGCTCTAGGTGTTCTCAGGCCGGGGGAGCCCTGGTCTCCATGGCCTGGGGTGTCAGGCACACAGGTCTTCACTGCTCCTTCCATCCACCATGAGCACAGGCCTTTCTCACATCACCTCCAGCTCGACTCTTGGTTAGCTTTCCACCAGCTGACCCTTTTTCATCCCAAACCTGAGAGCCAGCGGCTGGCTCAACTCCTCCCAGAGCCCACAGGAGGAGAGCCTGCAGAGAAGCTCCCTGGGCCGATTCCATGGGAAGCTGGATCTGTTCACTACCTTTCTCTTAGCCCAGCGGCTGAGTCACTATGTGCTGTGCTTCCCTCTTGAGGAAACTGTCATTTCAAAGGTTTTCCTCCTTAGGAAAGGCCTCTTGCTGCTGGAACTCCTCTTCTGAGGGAAGACCTAACAGGGCAGCCACCACCCTGGTGATGCATGGTGATGTCCGAGGGGTCCGAGGCCAGACCCTGTGTGATGGACTGGAGGTCTCTGGACTCTCAGAATAAAAGGAGTTGTAGTCTCCTCCCTACCTCACAAAGCCCACCCTCACACTTTGGCCTTCCAGAACCTTCTGCCCAATTGTAGATTTCCTTCAAGTGGGTTGTAAGAGCGTGTGACTGGAATTTCTCACGCCTTTGCAAGCATAGCCCCTCCCAATGGGTGGCTGCTCATCACCCGTAACACTAGCCGGTCAGCCCTGTCAGTATCAGCTCCCCAGAACCTGCTGCTGCTTTGGCAGACCCCAGAGTCCCTCTTCATTCAAGAGCATCTCCTGAGAGGGTTTTAAATTCAAGTTTCAGTTCCAGCTGGTCTGAGCTTGACCCTCCTCCCCAGGCTGCAGGCCCTTGTCTGCACGAAGACCTAGTGTTGCTGTTCCTGTGAAGGCCTGGAGTCTCCAGATAGCAGGGATTTGTTTTTTCACTTGTTGGTGAAAGAGCAGATTCCCTGGAAATATTCTGCTCTTTTCAAGTCCGACAGCCCAGACCCTTCCTGGTGGTGCAGCCAGTTAAAGTGCAACACTATGAAGTCAGCCAGCTGCGGCTGCCTCAGCACAAGTTCTATCCCCACCCTCGAGGTGGCCCACCAGGCGCGGCAGACCTCTCCTGTCTTGTCCGCTGCTCCCCTCAGCAGTGTATTTCAGTCAGTCTACCTGTTCTGCTTCCCACTCTGTCTCTGGTGAATCCTCTCACTCCCTGCACCTTTGGCTTGTATCCCAGTTTTGTATGCATAAATAAATAAATAAATCTTAGGCCTTCCCTGGTGGCGCAGCGGGTTAAAACACAGCACTAAGAAGCGTAAGCCACTTCCGCATGAGTTCGATCTCCGCCTGCCCTGGAGGTGACCCACATGGCGTGGCAGACCTCTCCTGGCCTGCCTGCTGCTCCCGTCAGCAGTGTACTTCGTTGATCTGCCTGTTCTGCACCCCACTCTGTCTCTGGTGAATCCTTTCACCCGCCGCATCTCTGGTCTGTACCCTAGCTCTGTATGAATAAATAAATAAATCTTAAAAAAAGACATAAATAATCTTTTTTTTTTAAAGATTTATTTATTTGTGCATACAGAACTGGGGTACAGGCCAGAGGCTCAGGGGCGGTGAGAGGCTTCACCAGAGACAGAGTGGGGAAAGAACAGGCAGATCGATGAAGTACACTGCTGAGGGGAGCAGCGGGCAGGTCAGGAGAGGTCTGCCACACCATGTGGTCACCTCCGGGGCAGGCGGAATTGAACTCATGCAGAAGCGGCTTTAGATTCTCAGTGCTGTGCTTTAACCCGCTGCGCCACCAGGGAGGGCCAAACATAAATAATCTTAAAAAAATAAAAAGCTTGACAGCCGTTTCTGTTCACCTCATGGGCTTGTCCGAGCTTTGGGAGTGCGTTGAAGGGAGCTCGCTGTGGTGCCGGGGCTGGGCTGGGAGTGGGTTGGGCCTGCCTCCCAGGGCTGACAGCTTTCCTTGAGCTATTTGCTGGCAGTCTCCTTTCTCCTCACGTTTCCTACCCAGTAGCTTGCTGTGAGCCTCCCGGCTGGACCCGGCCAGTCACCCTGCCCCAGCACACACCTGTAGAGTTAGGCCCATCTTCCTCGATCTTCCCTTTTTGTTCCTGTCTATCTGCTGTTAACTCAGATGCTGAAAGTCACCTTGCCTCCTTCATATCTTCCTGTAGCCCTGAGGGAACTAGAAGTCAGGAGAATTTGGTGGACTCTGCCCATTTCTTAGCTGAGGAAGAGCCAGGGCTGCCCAGGCTGCCTGAGAGCCTTTCAGAACAGCTTGGCCCTGAGGTACCACCAGGGCTGCTCGGGACATGATGAATTCGATACCAGAGCACTGACTATCCCCCACCTACCCCACCCACTGCCCGTGAAGATGTGAAGCGTAAGCCTGATAGGACACAGGGCGAGGGAGGTGCCTTCTGGTCAGGGGATGATGGTTCTCAAGCCTCAGTCTCCTTATCTATAAAATGGGAATAACAAAATTTGCCCGAGCCCTATATCCCTCAGACACTTGTCAGAAGCAAGTGTAATAAGAGATTTTCAAATGTACTGCAGATCAGAAAGTGCTAAAAATAAATATAACACGATTATGGAGAGACCATCTGTCTCCCCAGCATCTAACACAAGGCAAAGCATAAACAGAATGAAGTTTTCTTAGCCTCAGGCCACTGGTCCAGAAGAGCAAGATTCCCATCCTGAGGGGTGGGACAAGCTGAGGTGGCTCTTCTCGGATGGCCTGTCCCTACCATCCTGTCCTCTCTGCCTTCCCCCCTGAGCACTGCCACCTTGAAAAAAGTCTAGAAGAATCTGCTGGCTACCTTGAGTGGTTGTAGATTTGGGTGCAACTCTGGAAGCGTCAGCTAATGGGAACTCCAGAGAAATCTTTTCACCTCTACTGGGTCTTCCACACATCACACAGGCTCCCTGTGTCCAGTCAGTCAGGTCACTCTGAGGGCTACGTGAGCCAATGTAGTGGGTGGTAAGTGTGGTCACTTTGCAGTAAGGGGACTGCTTGGCCAGAGGGCAGCCTGGGGTCCTGGCAGAGGGGAACTGGTCCTAAGATTTCGTCAGCTCTTACAGGCAGCCGCACCCTGCCATGGGGCCTGTGAGATCACATGTGAGCCTCAGAACCCACCAACTGAAGAACCCACCGAAGCCAGAGCCACCCGGGGGGGGTAACGGTGTTCTTGGCTTCGGGCTTCCTTGCGGGGTTGGGGTTGTTGGCGGGGGAGGTTGTTGGCGGGGTTGGGGGCTTCCTTTCTTGTTTTTTGGGGCCCCCTTGGGCCCATGGCTGCTCTTTCCCTTCTGCACCTGATTGTTCTGCCTGTTCAGCTTCCCCTGGCTTCTCTCTACACCCATAAACGGGGCTGCCCAGCTGGGTGGTGAGAGAGCAGTCTGGGCTTCAGCCCACCCTGTGAGAGCCGGTAAGAACACAAAGCTGTTGGACAGGAGGGGAGGGATCCAGGAAGGCCGGGGAGGGGCCCAGGGTGGGCAGATTAGCAGGTGAGAGGAAACAGAAGCTCTTTGGCGCTCCCTTGCAGAAACTTTCTTTTGAAATGGCTGCTGGTGTTAGCAAGAAAGGAGGCCCACCTTGTTACCTCAGGTGCTCGCTGCCACTCCCCCGAAAGTGTGACCTCTTTGGGACACTCTGGGGCCCCTCCAGCAGGTCCTGTCGCACAGCTCTCTGCCCACCTGACCCTACCTGGGTTCTGGCTCCTAAGCCCTAGCAAGGGTCTCCCTCAGCACCCTGACTCAGATCCTCAAGCCCTGCCTGGCTCTTAGACTCCCTGATGCATCACAACCTGTTCCTGGGTCTCAGGAACAGGTCTGGAGTGACTGGTTCACACAGCTATATGTTTAATAAGTCTCCAACGCTTCCTCTTGCCCCCCCGCCCCGGTGATTTCGAAGGCCAACCATATTCAGGGCACCCCGACCTATCCTACTCCTTGCTGCCTCACAAAGCTCGGTCTCTGTTGTTGGAGAGGAATGAGTCGGGGCCTTGGAGAGGATCCACTCTATTTGGAAATGAGCCTCCTTCGTCACCCACTTCAGTTCTGCTCCCCACCACTCATTAAGGAACTATTCTCTTCCCTCCTCTACCACAAGTCTCCCTCACTTCTTTGGGGACATTTCCAAAGAACTTTAGAGACAAATCTTGTACCATCTGCCTACAAAGAAAATAAATGAACTCCCCTAGAGCTGGGAGGCGGGACCTCCAAGGTTCAGAAGCAGATTGCTTTCTTTTTCTTCCAGTCAAGTGGTTTGGACCAGTGAGACAGATTCCACTGCTGGGAAGATTCTGCAGGTTGGCAAGCCTCAGCAGGTCTCCCTCCCACCCAATTAGGCTCTAAAAATGAAGAAATCCTTCCAGCCCCTGCTCTGCACCTCCCCACCCTGCTCAGCCTTGACTCAGGACACATGACTTTCTTTCGGCTCTGCCATCTCAGGGGGAGACACGCTCTCTGCTCTCACGGCTGGGGAGCGTGTGCGCCGTGAGAGACAAGACGCAGTGTGTGAGTGTGAGCGAGCGGGAGTCGCTGCTGATGTCTCATCCCTTTGCTCGAGCTCTGAAGTCAGTGCAGCGTGGACGGGTGGGGAGCAGACGCCTCCACACTGTGTTATTTATGTGGGGGGGAGGGTGTGCAGCCTCGGTGGGGTATGTGTGTGCCTGTGTTAGGGTGTGACCGTGTGTACAAGGTACAGAGATCTGGGTTCTAGAGTCTGGTTTCTATGAAAATGCCTGATCTGTAGGAACGCAGAGTACAGTACAACTCTCCATGCTATGACAAACATCTGCACCACATCTGTACCAGGAAAGCTTATCTTGTGCAGGAAAGCAAACATAGGGTACAGAATGAAAAGCAGAGGTGTAGAAAGATGTGAGGAAGACTGTGCTTGAGCTCGTTTGAGAGAGAAGAAAGGGAGGAAAGAAGGAAGGAAGGAAAGAAAGAAGGAAGGAGGGAAGAGAGAAGAGATCCAGACCCACGCTGGACAGCACGGGAGAGCCCCTCAGGCAGTTCCTTCCTGCCCGCCTCCCCTGGGCTTACCTCCACACCTGCCTCTCCTCTGGGCTCTGGGTTTAGTCCCGGCAAGGTCCCTCCACTGCCTCCCCCACCCTCGAGCGGAGCCTGGGCAGCGAGAGTCAGCTGGAGTCCGGATGCCCGGTGGTGCTAGTGTGCTTGTGTTAGCCTGACTTTTCTTCCACCAGATCTTACTGGGGTGGGGAGGTTAGGTTAGGGGGAGGGAGGGGCAGATTAGAGGAAGGGAGGGGAGGAGGAGGGAGGAGGGGAGGGAGGGAGGGAGCTTGGGAAAGGAGGAACGACAACAATAAAGTCTTTATTTGGCAGCCAAGACTCAGAAAGACTTCATCCACACACCATGCCCACAAACCGACTCGTTTTTAATAACATTTCCTTCTGCTGCCGCTGCTTCTAGGGCGAGATTGTTTGACCCATGTTTGGAAAGCAAGCCAAATTAACGGCGGGAAAGCCATGAAAAGCCACCTCTGTGCAGGCAGAGCTGGACGGCAGGGACCAGCCCTGTCTATGTCATCCTTCTTCCTGACTTCGCCTTACCTCTGACGCCCCGATGTTGCTATGGCGCAGGGGAGGGGGGTGTGTTCTAGAAATAGTGACATTAGAGCACATGGTGTCTCTGTTTTCTCATCTGTAGAATGGGACGAATAGCTCCTCACAGAGCTGGGAGGAATAAATGACATAAACATACTTACAAACCCAAAGAGACGTTTGGGTTTCTATTTTTAAAGATTTATTTATTAATGCATACAGAATTGGGGTACAGGCCAGAGGAACGGGGCAGGGACAGGATTCACCAGAGGCAGTGGGGAGCAGAATAGGCCGACTGACAACGTACACTGCTGAGGGGAGCAGCGAGCGGGTCAGGAGAGGTCTGCTGCACCCTGTGGGTCACCTCTGGGGCTGGGGATCAAACTCGCACTGAGGCGGTTGCAGCTAGCTTCATTGTGGTGTGCTTTAACCTGTTGTGTCACCAGTGAGGGCCTGACACTTGGGTTTAGAAGAGACATGATGGTGAATGGTGTCATCTTAAGAAAAGAAGGAAAAAGCAAACCCACATCTTCCCTCCCCGGCCCTTTGCACCTCCAAATGAGCCTTCCACACCCTGCTGGAGGGGACTGGCGGGACGTCTGCCCAGCTGCTCTCTCAATCCACACCAGGCCGGATGTGCCCAGCCACTCTACATTTATTTTTCTCCTGGATGGAAGATGACCCTTTCTGCAAACCAAGACCGTGACCTTAGATTTCCTTATCTCTTTTGTGTGGTAAGTGGTAAGCAGAGCCTGAGACGTGTGAGCCAGACGCAGTGAGGGGCAGGAAGCAGGGGCAGGGTGGGGGAGGGGCCGGGCAGCGGGCAAGGGCTATGACCTGCCTCTGGAGCCATCCAGAGTCTATGTTCTTGGGCACTGATGATGCCCGCTGACCACCCCCAAGCCCTTCCCAAGCCAGCTTACCCTCCGCCCCCCTCTCTCATCTTCCCAGATCCTAAACTATGCAGAAGAGAATGGCAGTGCAGGTTAGAGCTGGCAGGGGAATGTTCAGGAGTGTCTAGAGGTTGTTAAGGTGGCCTGAGAAGCTAATATGTCTCGACTACCAACTACGCTTTTTAACTGCAGGTTAATTAAAAAAAAATAAAAATTTTCTTTTGACCGCAGTAAATATATACACACCCAGGCAGATTAGTATCAACCTCATCTCATGTCCCCCTTACCTGGTTTCAACAAAACCAGCTCATGGCCAGTCTTGCTCTTCGTGTTCCTCAACCCCACAGACCCCACTGTTTTATTTAGAAGCCTTTAGACAGAGAAGGCTCTTCCCATTTGAACACAGAAACTGTCGTGTCTGAGAGTCAACGGTCTAGAGTAAGGTACCTCCCCTGACCCATGGGGGATGAGCAAGCCCCCCCTCCGGGTGCCTGGGGGCACAGATAGCGCCACCTCCATACACCGAGTTCCTCTGGTAAAGTTTGTTATAAGAGGGGAACAGCAATCACTAACAACAAAAGAATAGTGACAACCACTCACTGTGTGAGTGATATGACTATGGTCTCTCTCAAAATATCTTATAGCAGGTGATGGTTTCCAACTTGGTTAATCACAAGTAGCATCAACCACGCAGGATGAAGCTATGAACCAGAGGGGCCGCGTGTCTCGCTCAGTGCGGGCTCCTATGAGCTGACTACTAGCTACCCAATGACGGGCAACCATGACCTATATGCTATCTACAAATCACAACAGAACATTCCTTGACTACCTACAGAGTGTAGCTCGCATCGCGACGCAGGCCAGGGACGCTCAGGCCGCTGTGGATCTGATTACATGAGACCTTGGCGGTCTCAGGATAACGCTGCCTGTGATAACATCATCCATTGCTGACGCAAACTTCTCTAGACACATGGTCATGTTGTCCCCTTCCCTGTCCCTTTGCAAAAGTTTGTCCCCCCATTCCTAGCCCATCCGCTGGACCCTATTCCTCATGCCACTGCCACACGATCAGCTTTTACTGGCTGGCATGATTTCAATCAATGGCGTGAGAACTTCTGCCAAGCAGCAGCAGAGTCTTGCCTTGCAAACAGCCCCTCATCGTATTCCCGCTGCAGAGATGCAAAAAGTTCCTGTCACAACAGCTCAGTGGCCTGCCTGACTGTCTTTGAAGACATTTGAGGGCACAACTACCGGTTTAGGGGCACAACTGAGAAAGGAAATGAGTTGGGAAAAATCAGGGACACGAGGAGAGAGTTGCAGGCACCTCAGCCATCCTGCCCAAGCAGCCTCTGGCATGGGGGAGCAGGAGGCCCGGTCCTGAGGCCGGGCTTTGCCTCTCTACGCTGTGTGAGCTTGGAGAGGGTCCTCTCCCTCTCTGGCCTCGTTCATCCTTTGTAAGAGGCGAGTTGCACTGCTCCTGTGCTTTCTTCCAGCAGGGGTGTGAAGAGACCTGAGCTTTGGGGTCGGAACTCCCAGGTTAAACGCCAGCTCTGCTGCTCTCTGGCCAGCTCGTGAGCAGAAATTAGTGCGCGTGTGTCTGGGGGTCCCGTCAGTGCGTGCGAGGCCATAAACCTGTCCCGTCTCTGCCAGGGCATGTCTGGGACAACCGGAATATGGCTGCCAGTTTTGTCTGGGGGAGCATTTTGCTATTCACTGACTTTACACAGCCAGGCCCTGACAGAGTATGTCTCCTCTGAAAAGAGCTCCCCCTCTTAGAGTCTGGGGGACATCAATGGGTGTAGCTTCACCCCACGGGAGGAATTTATCTTTTGCTGGTGTGACCAGAGGACACTTGTGTAAGGATGACATGAGGTGGACACTGGCAAAAGGGGTGGGAAGTCAGGCCCCGCTCACCATTCCCACCCCAGTGGAAATCCCATCTGGGGGCTCCCTGTTCTTGGACCCACACAGTAGCTGCTGCCTTGTACCAGCGCAAGTCTGAAGGCAAGAGAGGAAGGACATGACTGTGTGGGGTCCTTTCCCGCAGAAACTCAGCCAGGAGGTGGCTCAGCTCTCGCCCCCATCGCCGGCCTGAGGCTGGCAGCAAGAGCCCATGTCTCTGAGAAGTGTGTGTCGGTACTGTGTGGAGGTCACCAGGCCCACGGGGCTGCCCTGACCTGGCCCTTCCCCTCACTAACTAATGCTCATCTCTTTGGGGGATGGGGAACAGGGTAATTCAGAACAGAGAGAAACTGTGGGAGTCCTCCCCAAGGGTCAGGCTGGGCAGCCTGGGGTGAGTGGGCCCCTGGAGGGTAGAGCCACGTCCTGTTCACATGGACTAAGCCACAGAACCCACAGGAGCTTGGCACCCCCGGGCGCTCAGGAGGAGTCTTGTTTCATGCCTTTTTTTTAAAAAAAAAAAAAAAGATTTTATTTATTTATGCTTACAGAACTGGGGTACAGGCCAGAGTTCTGTGGGTGACAGAATTCACCAGAGAGAGTGGGGAGCAGAAAGGCCAGCTGATGAAGTCCACTGCTGAGGGGAGCAGCGGGCTGGTTAGGGGAGGTCTGCTGCACCATGTGGGTCACTTCCCTGGCGGGGGATCGAACTTGTGCAGCAGTGACTTCAGAGAACTTCATAAGGTGCTTGAACCGGTTGCACCACCAGGGAGAGCCCTGTTTCATGACTTTTTATGAGGGTCGAACAGGAGATTCTCAAGGGGCCACTGCTTCTGATTGACTTACTGCACCTTGCAGATCCCGCTTCCCACCTCCTTCTCCCCCTTCCTCGGACTCTGGGCCTGGAGGCCCCCAGAGTTGGATCCCACCTATGCTGCTCTGTGCTAACGACGAGGTCCCAGGCTACTCATTCACCCCGCTGAGTCTCTGCTTTCCCAACCGTACAGGGCAGGCAGCAATCGCTGTCCCAGGACCCAATATTTAAATTAGTTTAGAATGCAACTTTTATTTTTTTCCTTTAATTTAACTTCTGACTTGGAGCCCTTGTTTCTTATGGGTTGAGAAACCCAGTGGGCAGCAGCTGGGGCTGACTTGTGTGGTGCTAGGGCCTAGGTGGGTGGGGAGAGCATGCCAGGAATCCAGGGGTATCCAGGGGTATGCTGCCCCTGGAGGATCCCTCACCCTGGGGGGGGGGGGGCGCTCTGGCCCAGCAGCTCTCTGACATGATTTAGGTGGGACAGAAACTGCAGAGCTGTCATTTCCTGTCTGAGACACACTGGGCGCCTGGCACTCTGCCGGGACTGCGGCACCAGGGGTACCCACAGTCTCCCCCAACTTGGCCCACAAAAGGTTGTTTCTCCCCTGGGGGAGGAGCTTCCCCCTTACTTTTGGCCAAGAAGTATGTCTGGTCAAACATGCCCAAGGGCCCAGGCTGGTGGAAAATGAAGATCCAGAACTTGTGGCATGCCTGGGGCCCTCCCCAGTGCTGCTTCTGGGCTTCCTCCATGCTGGCGAAGCCAAACTCTGGTGATGCATGGCGCCCTCCAAGCTGAGAACCTCCCAGATTCTGGGACACTCCTCCAATCACAGCCGCTGAAACTCCAGTGCAACTTAATTTTGTTGCAAACATCACCTTTAACAAGTGACAGCACCTGCATCTAATATCCAAGTTCCAGGCATAAGTCTGAACACAACGCCGCTGCCATCCAGTCCTTGCGTAGAGGACTCAAACGCGGCAGC